GCGGGTTTCGATCCACCCTCATCATAACTGTATTGCCTTCGGCACTAGGCCCATTTTTAGTATAATAATTACCCGTTTTAGGCAGTTAATGAAAGGCATTCCACTATGCAGACCCCAAATTCGAATCTCAGGCTCAAAGTCTCAGGCCGAGAGGGGCCCAATGGGCCGGCTTCAGAAAAGCTAAGTCGCGTGCCCCAGAGGTCAAGTCCAACACGCACCCCGTCAACAGTCACATCCCAAGGGCAAAAGTCACATCCAAAAGGCAAAAGTCAGGTCTCTCAGTGAAAGAAAAGTCACATCCAATAGGCAAAAGGCACGTCTCACGGTGAAAGAAAAGTCACATCCAATGGGCAAAAGTCACGTCTCGAAGTCAAAGGACATATTCTACACGGCAAAGGTCATGCCCCACAGGCAAAGACGCATATTCCACACATGAAAAGTCGTGACTCGCAGCAGGCCCAAGCAGCAGCCCACCAGGGGGGAAATGGAGGGAGGTACCAGGCCCTGACATTCTGAAGCAAACAGGCCGTGGGCATGTGGTACCGGTACCAAGTCAAGCCAAAGGAAGCAGAGGCTGGGACGAGTTCAGGAGGCTCAGTCCAAGTCAATATAAGCACTGGCCAGCCACATTTCAGGGGGATGGCTCATTCGTGACAGAAGTGAGGAAGTGCTGCTAAAGCCCTTGTGCGCTATCTGCGAGTGGCATGCGCGAGAGCCCTGCTGGGCAGCACTGTGCTCAGGAAGGGAGGCTGCCATAGCCCCTCAGCTAGTGGTAGGAGATAGACCTGAGTAGTAGCGGATGTATTCAGAGTCAAGATCCTCAAGTACAGAGAGAGGGAGAGAGAGTAGAGGGAGAGAGTGAGCGCATGCATGAAGAGGAACATAGACAGAGAGAGACAGAGAGAGAGAGACAGAGAGGGAGACAGAGAGAGAAGAGAGCCACCTACCTTAGATGAGGATGATGGAATTGGGTTGCTGAACTCTGCGCTGACGACCGCTGATGACTGCTTAATATGCTTAATATGCTAGGCTACCAGACGGGCCGCCCGGGTATCGGGTGGCTAGCCCGTGCAAGGACCAGGGAAGGTCCCAGCAAAAAAAATAATAATAATAAAATCCAAAAAATCCACCAAAAAAACTATGTTATGTAAAAAAATAAACTGAACAACTTTTGCCTCAGGGTCACATCGAAATTCTTCACCAAATTCAAAATAATTTTTTTTACTTGTTTTTTTTTCATGTTTTTGGCCCGGCCGGGCAAGTGACCCCGGGCCACTCTGGTAGCCTAGTTAATATGATAATTTGTTGGAAACTCTTTTTTGTTCTTTTTTTTTTTTTTTTTTTCCTAAG